CAGGCACCACACCCGCAGTAGATGTGCTCGGTAGATGATGAGATGTTCACAGTGAGGAACATGATTCAGTTTGTTGCCGGTTGTTGACGCTCTGCCTCTCTGATACACTCTTTTGATACCCGATCATGTGACCTGCTGACCAGTCACATGATCGGGCGTTAAACAGCTGTTTCTCTTTAGCACTGCTGACTTTTCCAGACTTTTTGCTTCCATCTCAACCTTTTAGAGACGTTTTGATGTAATCAAACTGAAAAATGTTTCTTAGTTTAAACGTTTGACATGTTTGCTGTTCTTTTGTTAATAAAACACATCTTCTGTTTTTATTGTGTCGTGTGTTTGTTAAGAAACATAAATTAAGAACATTTTGATAACTGTTGCCAACTTAACTTTCCTCCCATGTCGAGTTTTGGAACCTCAGCAATCAGCAGAGACCGGCTCGGCTTCTCCTGCGGGGCGGGTCAGCGGCGTCTCGGTGAGTGACGGCTGTCATCGTGTCATACAGTGAAAGTCAAGCATCACACTGGGACAAAGCCAGGAAGGGTCAGAGGTCAGCTTAGGGTGTAGAAGCAGGTTAGGCGACATTCGCTGATGGCAGCGAAGCGAGAGGGCAGTTTCACTGTGATTTTAATCCCCTCCCCTCGCTGTGTGAAACGGGCAGGTTTACAGTCCTGAGGAGGGTGTGATCGGCTGCGAGCCCTGGCGATGAAAGATGGGACGCTGCGAGCTGGGCGTGGGGTTTCACAAAGGAATGGGGAGGGGTGGTCATAAACACAGCGACAGTCAGAGTAATGAGCGCGTTCAAAGGGCGGCGGATTAAAGTCTTCCAGCTCAGAAGGTTTCCAAAGAAAAGTGATGACATTCAGCTGGCAAACATCTCCTCTGAGGAAGAGAGACACTTTTTTTCTTGTCCTGTTTGGTTCTTTAGCACGCAGGTGTGCACACAGGTGTGCACGCAGGTGTGCACGCAGGTGTGCACGCAGGTGTGCACGCAGGTGTGCACGCAGGTGTGCACGCAGGTGTGCACGCAGGTGTGGAGGGGTCACCCAGCACCCACGGAGCAGGAGCCAGAGTGAGCCATGCTGCAGGCCCGTACCTCCCTCCTCCCGCTCGTGCTGCTGTGTTGTTTAAAGTGCACGAGACGATCTTCTTATGTGACGGCCTGAAAACAGAGGCTACATGATCGATACAGAGCAGCTTTAACTAAAACATGTTGTTTTGGCTTTAATGAGAAATTATTGTTTCTCTGAGTGAACGGCGTTCCTGGACGCCCACGTGTGTGTTTGCCCTCCTTTTACTCCGACGGCAGCGACCCTCGACCTGTTCGCAC